TCAGGCCCCGCCCCTCACCCTCAAGTCACCTGTGAACACCACACTCAGGACTGCACACCCCACCATCGACACACAGGGGGCCCACAGGTGTGGGGAAACACGGGGTCAAGATGCAGATTGACGTGGTCCCACAGGAGACCCCTGTGCCCTCAACTCTACCCTTGAAAGCTCCCCACACCCAGATGCCCCCTGCCCCTGCCACACCAGTGTATCCCGACCCTCAAGCACATGTCTGATGGTCCCACCACACAGGACCCCGCCCCAGCCCCCCAGACACCAGGGCCACCACTGGTCCAGCAGCAGCCAACAGTGCCCTTCAGCCAACATGGGAGAAATCGGGCTGGCCGCCTCTGACAGTGAGCTGGACACCCTTCCGCTTGCCCCCCTGGGCCTGCCCTCTCACTGCCCTCTCCAAGGAAACCAGGGACAGGGATGGGGCAAGGCTGTTAAAGGGCCCAGGACGTGCACTTGGTAAGGACCCCACGGAAGGAGATGGGCCTGGGTCCTGAGTGTCCCCCAGGACAGCTGCAACTGGCAGGGCTGGGGTCTGCCCAGGCAGGGACAGAGCACAGACTGGCATGACCCATGGGGCCACCCTGGGCCTGGCAATGGCACTCCGTGCCCCAGTCTCCTCAGCCAGGTGGGTCTAAAGGTGCCTGGAGCGGGTCAGGCTTTGAGAAAGAACGCAACAGACTGTGCGGAAAGGTCACACCCTCCACCAGCCAGTCTTAGTGTCTGCTCTGCCAGCTCAGTGAGGGTGCCAAGTGCCCACTAGTTAGGGAAACTCCAACCCAACTGAACAGGAGCCGCTTACAGGACTTCTCAGAGCCTTTATAGTTGCCATGCACGTCGACCCAGGAGAACAACACATGGTGGGTATGAACTCTGCCCTTCCTGGAGCCCACTGGGATCAGCGTCAGGCAGAACACCTCCTGAAATGTTGGCATAGCAGGATGAGCACGTGGAGGGTGTCTGGACCAGATCTGGCCTGTACGGACGTCCCTATGCTGGGCCTCACCTCCACCATTTTCAAGTGATGGTACAGCAGGTGATTTCTAAGGATCTAGCCACCTCTGACTTTTGTGCTCTATGTAACTCTGGGTTATTCATTTTTAAAATACAAACTGCAAAACACATGCAGCCACCATATGTGAAAGACCCAGCAAGCTGTCCGAGCAGAACCACAGGACTGAACTTCCTGGATGAGCTCCTGGCCTTCCTTAACCCCAGCACCAGTCCATCCTCCTGGGCCCGTCCTCCACCCACCCACCCAAACATCTGGGAATTCTGCAAAGACACCCCGCCTTTCCCTCCCTAATGGCCCCGCTCCCAAGGCCCTCGCTGCCATCAGCCAGGCTGGTGAAGGGGTGTTGGCGATACGGAGCAGTAAGCCCTGTTGGGAAAAGTCACGTCATGTGTACATGTTGAGCCTATGTGCAAAAGTGTGTGTGTACCACTGGGGCTGAGGTAGGCCGGGGGTCTGTGCTGTGGGTCGAAACCTCTGACTCAGACTTTCCAGGACGAGCATGTCCCATGGCTGACAGTTGCACGTGGCTGGAAGAGGGGGCGGCCCCAAGTACGAAACGCGTGCATAATCACACACGAACGTGCACAACTGACTCCAGATGAGACACGGGGTCAGGGCTCAATGTGTGACCAGGGTCAGGACTCAAGAGTCTGACTAATGACTAATGACCAGGACCAGGGCTCAGCCTGACGCTGGAATCTAGGCTCCATCAGACCAGGAACAGAGTCATGGATCCAAAGATTAACCACTGCTCAGATGATGGTCACATCACTGATGACTCTTAGCCCCCAATGGCCTCCTAAACACAAAAAATTCTGCAGACACGTGAGAACCTTTCTCATCCAAACACACACAGAGGCCCATGACAGCACAGACCCAATCTCTGGGCTCACTGGTGGACTTCCATAGTTGCTTCCATAGTTGCTGACACACAGCCCTACAAACTAGCCCCACGACCTTGCAGCCTCCCCCCACCCCAGCACCCATCCATCCTGCTCTCCAGTCGACTACTTGTCCTGGCCTCACGTTCCTCCTGTACCTTCTAACTTCCACACCTTTGCTCAAAGTATGTTTCTGCCTAAAGAGCTTCCTCCTGTTTTCTGCCAGAAAACCATGTTCTCCTCTAGGGTCAGCCACTGCGGGAGCCTCCCTGACCTCCCTGACTCATTTCCATCACTGCACCGCCCCCAGCATTAGGGACTTGCAACACTTACCCCTCGGCTCACAGGCTGGCCTGGGGACTGGTGGAACTAGGGATGAGAGAGGCAGATGGTGACAATGACACACAGCTCCTACCACACCCACCACAATGGACACCAAACCTCCAGGGGGTAGGCCCAGCCACCACCAGGCCCATCTGACCCATCGAGACCTGGTCACTAAGTTCTCTCCTGCCCTGTCACCACAAATTCTGACCCTCCTCGCCTCTGGATGCTGGTCCCATTATGGGGCTTTTCCACAAACTCTTCCCTGTTACTACGTAGATCCCACCTCTCTGCTTCGCCGTGGCTGGGGGGACACCTGGCTCTGGGCACCCACGCAGGGCCCTGTGACTCTAAATCGCAGCCTGGTCAGTCCAGCCCGGTGCCCTGTGCCCCTGGTTCCCACTGCTGCAGCACCTGGCCTGGGCTGGTGCTACTGCCTGACAAGGAACTGGGCCCAGGGCCTCAGGAGCCCCCACGTCTGCTTCCCATCTGATCACTCGGGGCCTCACCCCGCTGCCCCTGTCCTTGGCAGTGCTCTTGCAAAGCTACACCATCTGCCTGTAACCTGGCCAGTGTTGGGGGACTGCCACACCCCTCTGGACCCCCAACCGTGGACTTCCCTGGGAGGGGTGGGAAGCCAGCTGGTTGGGACCCTGCCACCTCAGAGCCTCACCTGGGCAGGGAGACTGTGCAGGACAGATGGAGTAGGGGAGTCAGTGCCCCCGAACCTGAAGGCTGCACCCCTCCCCTGCTAGGCTGGCCTCCCCTCAAGCCCAAGGCCCCGAGGACACAAAGCACAGATGAACTTCCAGGTCACTCTCAGCCCACAGGCTACAGGTCTGGTTGGTGGTGCCCTGGGAGGGAGGGGGAGCTCTCAGGACACCTGCCCGCCCCACAAGCCTCACCCAACCGTCACTGTGGGGCCCACCCTGTGCAGGGTACTCTGCGTACCCTGTTCCTGCAGAGACAGAGTTGGAGGAGGAGGAACTGAGACTCAGCATGGGGAAGGGACTGGCTCAGGCCCCCAAGCCCTGCTGTGTGGCCTTGGGCAGCTCCTGTCCCGCCTGAGCTGGGATGGGGAGCAGGGACTGAAGCCCAGTTCTAGATGCCCTGGTGGCCAGTCCAGCGTCCGGATGACCTCAGAGACCGCCTCCCTGGGCAGTCCACACTGAGCCTCTGCCAGGTGCTCCCAGGAATGGAAGATCAAAGGGGTGGGTGCAGGTATCAAGGACCTCCCATGCCCAGAAAGACCTCTGCAGCCCCCAGTCATGGCTGTGCCACTGGGGACACACGGTTATGTCAAAGGACAGAGGGCCAGAGGAGAGTCATGTAGAGATGGGCTGGGCTAGGTAGGAGACCCCTGGCCCGGCCTCACCATTATCTGGATGTTTGCATAGTTGATAAAGACACAGCAGATGTAGGCAGGGGCTCCCAGTAGGCGATTCCCTCCTCATCCAGCTCAGAGTGTCACAGGATGAGGCCTGGGGACACGGCGGGTCAGCTCTGTCTCCCGATTCTCAGGTGGGTGCCCACCTCCAGCACAGGAGTCCTACCAACGGATCCCAGGAAAAACCCCTGCGGTTGGAGCCCTTAGCGCCAGAAGCAGACACTTGCCCGGGGCCACATCCTAAGAGAGCCAGCCCAGGGGACAAGCCTGCCTAGGTTCCTTTCATTCAAAACATTTTCAAACAGATGCTCCAGATCAGACATTGCACCAGGTCCTGGGACCTGGCAAGAGCCAAACCTTCAGGGACACACCTGCGAGGGGGAAGAGCCCTTTCCGATCCAGAGCCCTGGGGAAAACCAACAGCCTGGCAGGCCCTGCTCAACTCCACCCACGGTGGCAGGGGACCCGATGGCCTGGGTGTGCCGCAGCAGGCGCTGGGCAGCCTTGGGGCCCACTGACGTCAGGTGTCCACTTCCTTAAACACGGCCACAGCCTGTGACCCAGAACTCACTCCCAGGGAATCAGGCACAGGTGTGCACACACACGGCAGCGATGACCCTAGGGGACGGCCACAACCTTGTCACCCGACAGAAACCACAGGGCAGGATAGGACACCTGCTCCACCACGTGGTGAAGAATCAAAATGATGGAAAATACGCTCGTACATGCAGACAAAAGGCCAGACAAGTCACACCATCCCGTGACTGGGTTTTCTTCACTTTACTTACCCAGATTTCCAATATGCTACCCAGACATGTATTGTTCTATACACAAAACACGGCAAGGGGGCAGCAACCACAGCTGGGAATGCACAGCCCCCACTGGGAGAGGAGCTGGGGGTGGCAGGGAACCCACAATACACTTGTTTTACAGAAAGAAAACAGAGGCTCAGAGAGGGTCACTTCCTGAATGTTGCACAGCAAACAAAAGTCCAAACCTGCAGGCACTCTTCAAATGAGAAGGGCAAAGGACATCAACGCACTGATGTGCCAAGCCCCTTCTGGGAGCCCACTCTGCCTTTTCCACACCTCCCATCACTCCACAGGGCTGCACGGGGATTAAGACATCACGTTCACAGCCAACTTCCCACTTAGTGGTCCTGCAAGCCCCACGGCTAGTGTGTTAACGTCTCTGTGCCTCAGTTTCCCACGTGTCAACGGGTGCCTCCGTGGGGCATCACAATAAAGGGCTTCAGGCAGGCGCTGGCTCCTGGTGAACTCTCAGGACACAGTGGTCCTGAGCCCCCGCCCATCTCACCTGTACAGCCCTGGCTTCAGGGCCTGGGCTGCCTGGGCATGGTCTGGGCCGTGGGTCCTGCGCTGACGCTCCTTGGACTAGCATCTCGAGGACAGAAGTCCCCCACGACACCCAGCCCTCAGTCCTCACCTGTGGCATTGTGCGGCCACCTCTCTGGCCAGGACCTCCTTCCAGAGCACAGCACCGAAGCTGTCCTCGTCACAGAGCTCACAGGGCTCTGCCAAGGCACCAGGGACATGAGTAGGGTGCGGACAGGAAGAGGGGTGGGGAGCTGGCAGCAGGGCCAGGAAGGCCAAGACCCCTCCAGGAAATCTACCGTCACAAGGGGGAGTCATTTCCCAGGAGAGCTGAGCCCCAAGCCCACCCAGTCTCTCAGGACGCCACTCCCCAGAGTCCAGCTATAGGGTGGGGGACCCTCACTGGGACACCGCCAGGTCCTGCATTGCTGGTGCTCATCTTGGGGGCTCAGGCTGACTGCTCTCCCAAAGAAGGGCCCCCAGCAGCCATACTCCCACTGCTGTGTGCCACCCTCACATGTGACACTGCATCTGCCCCCCTCCGACGCCCAGGCTGCCACTTCCACCCACTGCGGGATGCCGCCACGCACAGAGGACAAGGGATGGGGATGAGGAGGGTGCAGGTACAGGAGCCACAGGGATGCAGACACAGGGATGAAGGGGCAGGAAGCCATGAGAAGAAAGAAACTCAGACCCTGAGAGTGGGTGCCACGCTCAGCTTGACACAGGATAAAACAAATGTCTCACATGCACTCGTCCCCTCACCATCACCCCACTGCTCCTGGCACCCCAGGACACTGCAACGTCCCGGAATGAGCCCACACGGGCTCTCACCCCTCCCTCGTGGTTCATACCCATCAGGTCCCCCACCCACAGGTCCCTCGGCACGGCCCTGACCTGGGCACTGCTGCAGGAAGCAGTCTCGAGTTTCCACCCCGTGGCCCTGGCACTCGGCGCCCTGTACGAAGGCCCACTGTACTCCCGTGTGCCCTGCTGCCACCCGGGGAGCAGCTGGCAGAGCACAGGCTCCACCTTGTCTTTCAGAGGATGACCCCTCCCAAGCACGGATCTGGGACACAGCAGCTTGGCTGTCAGGAGGCGAATGTGGGCCTACACGGGATTAGTAATGGGGTGTGACACAGAGGCTGGCCGGGAAGGGAGGGACAGAGATGCCAGGGAAGTTGGGGTCTAGTGCCCACCCCACTTCCCCCTGGAGGCTCGGTGCCCTCCAGCTCTGTCTACAGGCAGCTGGGCCAGGGTCTCCACTGGCTTTGTGTCCAGGTCCCCAGTGTGGGGGCTGGAAACAGAGCGGGAGCCCCAGCTAGGTCTAAAGAGTGAAAGAATGAATGAAGGAAAGACACCCCCGCCCATCCCAGCACTGCCTTACACAACAGGGTGACGGGGGTGAGGATGGTGCTCGGGCTCTCTTTCCTGGGCACAGGTCCTCACACCCGTGGCCCTCCGTCCAGTTTGCTCTGAGCATCAGTCTCCTCCTCATCCTGCTCCTGCCCCAGCCATGACCTGTGTGCTCGTTCTCCCACGCCCCCCAGGGACAGCACGAGTGATCAAGGTCTCACAGCTGCTGGCTGAGCACCAGGCTGAGCCTCCCCGACACCCAGCAGACTGGCTGCTGAGGGCCTCCAGGCCCCTCCGGCCACCCTCCTTCAGCCCTCTCCTGGGTCTTCTCCATCCTGGCCCTCTCCCCTCAACAGTAATAACCTCATGCCCCCAAAGACCTGAGCCCCTTTGTAGCCCCAGTGACATGGGACACGATGAGGGACAGCCTCTAAGTACTGGGGAGCCATTGAGGAGTGAAGAGCGGAGAGGCCTCACATCTGGGGCCAGCACTCCAGGCCACGCTGATGGGCTGGGGAAGAGGCTGCTTCACCCAGGCTTTCTGTCCAAAGGCCACATTTAAGGTTCCCAGATCACTCCCTCTGCGAGGGACCCTGGTGCCATCATCCTATTTATTCTCAGGGTCGCCCTGAGGCCCTCACCCTCCCAGCAAAGCAGGGTCAGGGCAAAGTCAACAAGGGCACGCAGCCTCACCAAGCACCTACCGTGGGCCAGGTTCAGGCCGGGCCAGGCACCCTGCATGTGCTGACATGGCACCCACGTACCAGGAACCAAGGAGATGGCACTGCCAAGGCCCACCTCTGGGACCCATGCTAGACCTGGGCCACTGCCACATGCCACCTACTCCCCCAGGGCTGGAGCAGGGGAGCTGGGCTGCCTGAGGGAAGGTCACACCTGGCCCGGCAAGAGGGTCCCCAATGCCTCTTGGAGCCTCGCTTCTCTGTGGCCCCGGCGAGCAGACCCATCTCCTGGGATGAGAACGAGGACTGGGTAGAGCCCAGAGGGTGGGCTCTGGAGCCGAAGGACTCACTGCCATGGGCCCGTCTAGTACATCCCACCCCGGCCTCACACCCCTCATCTGAGGACGGACTGATACCTGAAATGGTGGGAGATGACAGGTGTGGGCACACTGCTGGGATCAGAGTTGATCCCAGGGAACCCACTTTGATGGCCAGCAGGTGCAGTGTCCAGGTGCTCTCCTCTGGAGAGGTCTGCTGGACAGATGCAGAGTCCCCTCCCAGCGGTCCCCGTGCCTGTGCTGGGAACTGACCATCAAGGGGGTCTGATGAATGAACTGGACGCTAGGAAGGAACACCCCTAACTCCCCCAATTTGGAAGGCGGGGCTCCTTCTCCCTGCTGAGTGATGTGGCAACCAAGAACTCCACACCCCCCACGCCCTTGCAGAAACTTCTCCTCTCCTCTCACAGAGCCCACCCTCCTACGGGTCCCACTTTCCCCTGAACCCAGAGGCAGAGCGCCCCTCTGCCAGACAAGGGACGGGTAGGAGGAGTGGCTCCAACCTTACTGGGGTGGGCGTGCACCATGCTTCACCCCTGAGCTCCCAGCTGTGCAGCAGAGGCCCAGGGAGGACTTGCCAGCGAGGGCCATAGGACAGGAGCAGGGCTGAGCTCTGCATGGACCCTGACTATGGGGGGGCCGAGGGCCCTGGTTCTGAGCCCCGTCCTGGGTCTGGGCGCGACGCCTTGTGATCCCACAAAGGAGGCTCCTCTCTTTCATTGTTCAGCTAGGAAGACACGAGCCTGCCCACAGGAAGCAATACCCTCATTCCCACGTTGAGGAGGGGGCCGAGTGGGACTGGGCCCCATGCTCTTCAAGGAAGGTTGCTCCCCTCAAGGTTGGCTCTCTGGGGAGCATCCTGAGCAAGGGATGCCCCTGCTCTGTGCTGGTCATCTCAGTACACAGAAGCCTTGAGTCTCAGTCCACCCAGGAACCAAATGTTCACTCCACCTACAGCAGAGACAACTGAGGCTCAGAGGGGTGGTCCAGACAGCCAGGAGGGTCTGCCCTGGAGATGGCGTGGAGGCCCAAGTCTCAGAAAACAGGTGAAGCCAGGGTCTCAAGGATACTGCACAAATAGGACTTCACTTTGAACTGGGAATGTCGTGGCAGCACCCTGGGGGCCAGGGCGCAGGAGAAGGGGAGAATATCAGGGCCAGGGGGAAGGCCGGGAGCCCCAGAACTGCCTCCATGCCCTCGGGACAGGGCAGTAGAGCGGCTCTGAAGGTATGACAGCCGAGGCTGCCCAGAAAGGGGGCCTTCATTGCTGCCACTTCGCTCGGGTGACCTCAACAGCCCCATGACCACACCCATTTGGCAGATGCAGACAGAGGCCAAGTTATCCACCAGGCTGACAAGGAGAGGAGCTGGGATCAAACTCAGGATCAGATTCCAAGTGCTCTGCTCACTGGCCCCCACACTAACACTGCCTGCCAAAACTGACCACAGGGTCCCCCGCCTGGCACTTTACACCTCAGTGGTCTCCCTGCTGAGCCATCCCACCCCATCATGCTGAGACAAAGGGACCGAGGCCTGGGGTCCAGGAGACAGCACTGGTAGCAGGGCCAGGGTGGGCACGTCCTGCCCATCCCCCTTTGCTGCCCCAGCCCAGGTCCCAAGTGGAAGCCTGAGTGACGTGGAAACTGGCAGTGGGTGGGAAAGAGAGGATGCTCCTTGGTTCCCATGGCAACAGCTGCAGCGCTCAGTCTTTCAGGATAGACTCAGGTTAGGCCTCAGCTGCTACAACACCCATTATTTCCGGGATGGTTACATTGGTGACCCAGGAAATGAGAATGTGGTGGGAGGAGGGGGCGGAGAGGAGGGATCAGATCAGGAAAGGCCAGGCAGGGGGCCGCCGGCTCAGAGGAAAGACTGCCCCCCAAGCCTAGACATGACCCTGGTCACACACTGAGCCTTGATCTTCAACACAGACTGACCTCGGACCCTGCTCACAGGGTGCCTAGCCCCCATCACAGACAAGCCCTGATCCCGGTCACAGACCGCCCACGACCTTGGCCGCATTCCCACCACAGAGGGACACTCAGTGAGTGGTGGCTGCTCCCCATCACGTACTGAGCCCTGATCCCAAAAACAGACTGCCCCCTGATCTTGGCCGCGCTCCCACCAGAGGGACACTCGGAGTGGTGGCTGCTCTGTATGTAATCATTGTTGTATCTTTAACGTGTGTCCCACTCACACCTCACACACTGACAAATGTCATTCAGACGAACGCATCCACAATGGGGGACTGTCCGCAAGGACTCCTGGGGCCCGCAGTACTGGGCAGAGGTTCTCAGGACCCCCTTTGCTGGATGGCCACAGGGCTTCTGGGATGGGTGGGCTATGAGGGGGCAGCAGAGGAGTGGGAAAGGCT